GATCAGCATCAATGATCGTAGCCCATTATCTCTACCCTCCCTCCCGGGAACGAAGCCCACCTGGTCCTGATGTATCCATTCCGGCATTAGCTCTTTCAATCTATTTGCCAAGACCTTTGCGTATAGCTTAGTGTCAGTGTTTAATAATGAGATAGGTCTATAGTTCGAACACTGTGTAGCATCTTTTCCCTCTTTTTGGATAAGCACCATTTGAGCTTGTAGCGATTCTTTTCTTATTTCCATCTCTCCACCTAATGCATTCATATATTTTCTAAGTTTTGGTACTAAGATTTCACTATATTTTTTATAATATCTCACAGTATAACCATCTGGACCTGGACTTTTCCCAGACACTGTACCCTTCAGAGCTAATTTTATTTCCTCTTGTGAGATATCTGCATCCAGGGAGTTCATTTGGACTTCGCTTAATTTTAGTAACCCAGCCTTCTCTATATATTTCTTTCTCTTATGGTTCTTCTCACTTTCTATATTTTCAGATTCCCGCAGGGGATTTATATTATACAGATCTCTATAATATTCCATAAAAACTTTGGTGATTTCTCTATTTGAGTGTTTCAGGTTCCCCTTAACGTCTTTTATTTTTTCTATATAATTTCTATTTTTCTTTTTTCCTTAGGGCCCTCATCAAGTATTTTCCCGGTCTTTCTCCCCATCTATATCTCTCACTCAAAACCCTATTATATGCTTTTCTCCTCTCCTCTTCTATTACACCTTCCAATTCTTCTTTCTTTTTTTTTAACTTCAACTCTATTTCTTTTATTATTCTATTCTTGTGTTGTTGTTCTAGCTTACTTATTTCTTCTAAGAGTCTGCTCATTTTCTCTCTCTCTTTTTCTTTTTTCTTTCTTGCCCCAATCGCTATCAATATTCCTCTTATGTATGCCTTATGAGATTCCCACACTGTAGCTATGGACACATCACCTGTCTCATTTTCCTGGAAATACCGTTCAATCTCTTCCCCTATTTTCTGGGCTATTTCGTTTTCTACTAATAGTGTCTCATTAAGTTTCCATCCCAGCCCTCTTGTTTTCCCCTTCCCCCATTCCAATTTCATTCTAACTGGGGCATGATCCGATAAAGAGATTGTCTCTATTTCAATTTGAACTAGGTGGTCGATTAATTGATGTTCTATTAATATGTGGTCTAATCTTGAATACCTCTTATGCATGTTTGAAAAAAAAGGTATAATCTCTATCTTGCATGTGTGTAATTCTCCAGGCGTCTACTAATTGGCTTATATGTAGTTCTTTCTTCAAGAGTTTCAGAGCCCTACTTCCTTCTCTCTGTGCATGGGAGGTAGCATCTTTTTGTGGATCCATACAAAAATTAAAATCCCCTGCGAGAATCAAACAGCCTTTTTTAAAGTCCATCAACTTCCTCAGCACTTTTTTCAGATATATCTCTGGGCTTTTATTAGGACAATAAATATTGGCCAATGTACATTCGATCTCCTGTAGTTTTCCCTTTAAGAACAAGAATCTCCCCTCTGGGTCTGTCATTCTATCATCCAGCTCAAACCTAGTATTCTTTGCCATACCTATTGCAACACCCTTCGCTCTCTTAACCGGGGAATCAGCATAATACCATGTTGGGTGATTTCTGGATCTCAGCCTAACGTTCGATTCTATCTCAAGATGTGTCTCCTGTAGGAATACTACTGAGGCTGCTCTATGATGTAATTCTTTAAACAGTCTAAATCTTTTCCCAGGGGAGTTCAACCCATTTACGTTATATGTTATAAACTGAATCTCTTCCATCTTCCATAAATCTTCTCTTCCCCTTCTTCTCCCTTCTCACTTGCTTTTGTATCTTTTTTTTTTTTTTTTTTTTTTGCAGGAAAAATACCCCCCCTCCCCACTTACCCACCCCCACCAACTTCCCCCTCCCCCCCCCCACCCCCTTCCCCCCCCCCTCTTTTTAGGCCCATCTTTTGCCTATTGATCATTTATGGAAGAAACTTCCACTTTTGATCTAGTCCTTGGGCTAAAAACTCTGGGCATGGACGACCTTCCCCTTGTCCGACCTCCTCATAGCTCCCCTGGTCCCTCCTAGGTTCATCTCCAGCACCGTAAGGCAGGGGCAGTAGGGTGAGGGCTGACCAGTGTAGAGGAAAGACCAAAAAAAAAAAAAAAAAAAAAAAAAAAAAAAAAAAAACCAGCCTTATCTTCCCTCCACCACCCTCTCTCCCCCTCCCCCTCTCCCCCCCCCCCCCCCCCCCCCCCCACAAGTTGCCAATCCTCTTTTCTCTTCATTCTAAATTCCCATTGATCTTCTTCCCAGCCTGGAATCTCCATTCTTTGTATTTTTAAACTGTCACAAAAATGTTTCAGATCTTCTGGGAACCTGAGGTGCGCCGTAACCCCGTTTTTCCATCCTATTAAACATTCAGGAGACCCCCATCTGTATTGCACATTATATTCTTTTAACCTTTCCAATAGGGGCCTCAAAGTTCTCCTTCTCCACAGAGTCTCTGGGGCCAAGTCCGCATATATCTGTATGTCGCCACCTTCATACTTAATAGCTGGTTTCCCTTTGATCTTCTTCCAAATTTTTTCTTTATCTCGAAACTCATAAAATTTAACTATAATGTCTCTCGGGTTTTCTTTCCCCAGGTATCTCTGGATGTTTCCTTTTCTGAAAATTCCTTCTATTTTAGTCTTTTCCATTTCAGTGCTGTCTGTTATAATATTTAATATTTTACAAACCACTTCTTGCAGGTTTTCTCCCTTAGAGTTCTCTGGGACCCCACGTATCATGATGTTTCTCCTCCTGTCTCTATTTTCTTGTATCTCAGCTTTATATTTCAATTTTTCTTGGGCTTTCCCTATGCTAATTATTACTTTTTCAAGCTCAGAGATAGCCTGGGTCTGATTTTTAACTTTCTCCTCCGTTTCCTCCACTCTCACCAGCAGGTGTCCCAGGTCACTTCGGATATTTACCATTTCTTGTTTTATTGTTTTCTCCAGTTCTTTAAACATTTCTGTCATTTCTTTTTTATTAGGTATTTGTAGATCTTTTTCCGTCTCTGTATTTCCTAATGCTTGCTGATTGCTGGTGTCCAGGCCTAATGATACTCTTGGGCTATTTTCCATGCTGAAATCAGCTTCTCCTCTTTCAGTCCTATTCTGGGATCTTTCTGGGGTTACGTTTCCTTGGGAGGTATATTTTTTAATTGTACCAGTCTGGGACCCTTTAAGCCCACTTCCTTTTACACTTTTATTTTTCATTTTCTCTGTAACTTTTGTTCTTTGCTCTTCTATTATAAAATTCCTGGATTTAGGGGGGATAGAGAATCAAAGGTCTTGTATACTAGTCTCTGCACTATTCCCCGGCTGGTCTTTTTGGGCTGTTCTGTCCTCAAATCTTTTCCACCTTTTTTGCAGTCGCCGGGGTCCCCCCTTTCACTTACCCCCTGCTACCCTTTAGGGAGCCATGTAATGCATCACAGTTAGGGTATAGAAGATTTCAACTTAAAGTCACTCACCCTCCTCGTATGTTTCCTCCAGTGGCCCCGCTGTTTGCTCTCTCCTTCAGGTCACATAGGGTCTTTATTCAAGGAGAAGGGGGGGGGGGGGGGACCCTCCAGAGTCTCTTTGATCTTCAGTTTACCAGGGCTCAGTGGATATCTTCTTATCTTGCTTTATGCCCTGGGGGTCTCGGGGGAATAAGGGAGAATGCACCAATCCCCAGCCGACAGGACCGTTCTGCTCTCTCACCGCAGAACGCCGGCCGGCCGGCTTCCCGAACTCCCAGGCGTGCTTTGCGGTCGGTCACGTGCTCGCGCCGACTTCCCAGCATCCAACCGCTCTCTCACCGCTATTCACCAGCCACTCTCCTCTCTCCCCCCGCACACCTCCGCTTTCCGTCCCGGGGAGCCGCCAGGCCAGGGTAAGAGGCAAGCCACCAGGCTATCTACATATCTCGGGGGGATCACAGGGGACCTGGGGAGGTCAGGACACGGAGCTCCGTCCGAGAGCTCCTACATTGAGCTCTCCTCCGCCGCCATACTCAGGCTGGGTAGCTGTTGGATTTTTTTAAACTTTTTTTTTGTTTGTTTTTTGGGCTATAATTTTGTAATGACAGATTTTCTTGATTTTATATATTGGAGTATTGTGTAAGCTGTGCCTCAAAAATCCTGCCGAAACGTTTTTCTATGTCTACTTATTTATACATTTATTACAGGTACTTGTATAACACCATCAATTTACGCAGCACTTTACATATTTAGTATACATTCATTCATCAGAACTTGATCTCAAGGAGCTTTTAATCTAAGGCCCCTAACCCACATTCATGCATACTCATACTAGGGCCAATTTAGACAGGAGCCAATTAATCTACCAGCAGATTTTTGGCGTGTGGGAGGAAGACAGAGTACCCAGAGAAAACCCATGCAGTCACAGGGAGAACATGTTACCCTATGGGTGCTAGACGGATGTCTATAAAACTTTCTGATGATCTGCGGCTGCAGCCACTGATAGGTGTGTTTTGACAGTGCGGGTGCTGCTGTCAAAATACATTTTCCCAGTGGGCAGGATGCCTTCATCCACCTTATTTGTTTGGATGGAGGACCCAGAGGTCTATAAAACCAGATACAACCACCATTAATGAAGGATGTCACAAAGGAGGGGAAAGGCACAAAAAAGGCACAACATCACAGGGTATAACTCTCTAATGTCTAGTTATATAGCATAGTCTTTTGCAGGGCATGAAGTCATCCCAGTAGACCCAAATAAACGAGAAGAAAATCAATCTCCTTCACAAAAACCAAAATGGGCTCATCAAAGACCCAACTGCATTATACCAATCTCATAACCTAGCTAAGCTCGGGCGCCATAGGCAAAGTGTGTCTGAAAGGGTCTTCTAGTTACTATATGTCTTTTATAGTCTCCCTAAGTACAAAAACCTTAGAAATTCTAAAACCTCCAAATAACCATTGTCACTGATGTGCTGTTTAACCCACCATACATTCTTTTTAGGTACTGGAAGTGGCTCTCTGTCCCACGCCATCATACCACGGACAGTGGCACCAACAGGTCACTTGTACACTGTGGAGTTCCACCAGCAGAGAGCTGAGAAGGCCATTGAGGAGTTCTGTCAGCACAAAGTGGATCATCTGGTAACAGTGAAGAATCAGGATGTGTGTAAGAATGGCTTTGGGGTGTCTCATGTTGCAGATGCCGTTTTCTTGGATATACCATCACCCTGGGAGGCCATCGGACATGCAAAGGATGCTTTAAAGATTGAAGGTACGATGAATAAGCAGGGAATTCGAATGTGTTTTTATCTTACTAACTTATTACTTGTTTGCCTTCCTTATCTGGTAGAACATTATCTCCTGCCTTGGCAGAGACACATCTAGATTACGTTTCTGTGGTCAAATATTGTGCACAATTCTTGTGCAATAAGTATACCCATAGCTTAAATACCCATCTCTTTTGATGGAGTGGGAAAGGCTTTGATGGGACAGATTGCTGGCTGTGTCCACATTGGAAAGAACTCTTCATGTCCAGTTAGCAGGATGTCCCAGGGACTGGAGTTAAGGGTAGACTGTATTTCTGACGTATAGACTGATATAGTATGACATTGTTTTATGAAGATTTGAAAATGTTGCATCCTCTGTGATGTTTTTGTTGCCGTCTGTAAATTTCTGTCCTGGTGACACTCATCCCATTCATATTCCATACAAGTGTCACAGGATATATAGTGAGTACACAGAAAGCAATTCCAAGCGGCCAGGTTTTATCCATCTCCAACTGTGCCCAAGAGGAAACAAAAAAAATCTTGGAACCTGTTGGGATTTTATAATGACAGTTAAAGCTTAGTTGTAGTCTCCCATTATTCCCTCTTTGTATTCCTGTACTATCTTTATAATTTTAAAGTGATTTTCACTTGTGAATTCTTTAAAATATCTTTTTTTTTTTCTTTTTGCGTCAATGCACTTCCTTCTGTTTTCCATACTCTGGTGCCCAGAGGGGTGTGTGTGAGCAAGCCTATAAAATTACAGAGCACGCTGGGCAGTGTGCCCCATTCTGGTGCCCATTAGACTGTATAGTCATATTAAAGCGGAGTTCCACTCAGCCTGAAACAAAATAAAAGTCAGCAGCTACAAAAACTAGCCACTTGCCTGTCCCTCGGTCCCGCGGTCTGTCCCCCGCAGCCCATTTCAACCGGCCGTCCTGGATTGCAGGAGGCCGGCATCTTCATTGTGGACGCCCTGCTTGTGGCTTCACAGCCGGGTACCCACTGCGCATGCGCGAGTAGTGCTGCGCTTCATGAATGGTCCTGTAGTCTTCTGGGACCTGTCACGTGTCCCAAAAGATTAGAGGGAGGGAGGACACCTTCTGTTTCCGATCACCTAGGCGATCGGACCGGAAGTGGGAGCGGGTACCTGTCAAATTCGGGGACCCGGTCACCCCCCCCCCCCCCTGCCCCCCAAAGGTGCCAATCCCTGATGGGGAGCAGTCCTTAAAGCGGAACTTCCCCTTTTGGGTGGAGCTCTGCTTTAAGTCTCGATGCACATTAGCGTTTTTCTTAAGCTCCAAAAACATTGGAAAAAACTCTGGAAACAGTTTTGTTTTTTTGTTTTTGTTTTTTTTTTTAGTGGTGTTCAGAAGCCTTTTTATTAGTGATTTACAATATATGTAGAGTGTAAAAAAAAAACCCAAAAAACTAGAAACAAATCCTGTTAGGAACGTTTTAGCAGCAGTTAGCAGTGTTATGTGGGAGTGTTTTTAGGTTTTTGTTTTTGTTTTTTGTTTTTTTTTTTGTGCTGGAAAAACACTTAAAAAAAAAAAAAAAAAACTCTACAAAAACTATTTTCTTCTGCTTCTAGATCAGCATTTCTCAACCTTTTCAGCACAGAGGAACCCTTGAAATAACTTTGCGGACTCAGGGAACCCCTGCTAAAAATTACTATATCTACAACTGAGGATACATTAGAGTAATGGTCACTGGGAAGAATGCTCCCAACACTTGTGGTCATTGGAAAGAATTACCCCCTTACAGATAGCTGAAAAGATCAATGGTGTTTGAGGAAACGTTTCTGAGAGGCAGGAATTAATCATTGCACTAAGAACCCCTAGCGACTGCTGGAGGAGCCCTAGGATTCCGTGGAGACCTAGTTGAGAAACCCTGTTCTACATGCTGAAGCACAAAAAAATGCTACTACCTTAAAGTAGTGTGCATGGACATATAGGATAACACTATTTAGCTTCTGGAAGCAGAAAAAAGGCTAATAACAGTTTCTAGGAGCTTAAAAAAAATTCTACTGTGCATGGAGCCTTAGGCCCCATGTATATGGGATATTTCTGAATGATGGAAACTGACTGCTGGAAAACGTAGGTCAAAAAATGTCTGTTTAGCCGCGTTTGCATAATGTGTTTATGTGCGTTTGCGTTTAGAAGCGTTTTTTAAAGATAAGCACAGGAGAACCTCCCAAATGACCAGAATGCACTGAAAAGTGGTAAATGATTAACTATTTCAGACTGTTTCAGAGAAATACAGAGAGTAGAAGCAGAGACAGCAGTATGTGTTGAGATAATTTGGTGTGAGTTGCTCATTCACATTTCTTTTGTTTCCAAGGGTGGGAAAGGTGTCTGCTGGAGTGAGTCATTAAAGACACCTGGCAGGGGGTCTTCATGAGGAAGTTGAGGTGTGAATGGTCATTAACATATCTTTTGTTTCCAAAGGTGGGAGAGGTCTGAGGTGTGAATTGGTCATTACAATGTGTGACAAGCTTTTTAGGAACATCCTGTGTCAAGTGTGAACAGCTCCTAAACGTGCGTTTTATCAGCTGCAGTGTACATGAGCCCTTAGACTCTGTTGATTTCCTTAAACTGGAGAATGCAAAATCTGGTGCAGCTCTGCATAGAAACCAATCCGCTTCCAGGTTTTTGTCAAAGCCTACAACAAACAATGAAAACTCTGCTACCATGCACAGCTGCACCAGATTTTGCACTCTCCAGTTTTAGTAAATCAGTGCTGTTGCTCAACATTGAAGTTGAGTTTTCTCTGTTGAAGAGATTTCTTCACTTCCTGTCTGGTTAAAAAAAAAAGGTTGTCCCCAAGCCAAAGGACTACTGTAGATAATGGTGTAGGCAAACGGCAATAGCATCCGGTCATCTATTCCCTACTGGTTAAAGCTTGTTTTTGGTAAATGGTAGAAGAAATCTAGCCATGTCCAAGACCACTCCTACCAAGAGGCAAGTTAAGATTTTCATCTTACGTGGTGAACCTTTGCTATTGTTCATAGTTTCTCCACTGCGACCCCCTGCTAAGCACACTGAGGAGACAGCACACAGATAAAAAATGTTCACCCGTGGCACTAGGCCAGTGGTTCTCAACCTGTGGGTCGCGACCCCTTTGGGGGGGTCGAACGACCCTTTCACAGGGGTCGCCTAAGACCATCAGAAAACACATATTTCTGATGTGTAAAGAGCAGCTACTGTGTTGAAAGCAGCTACTGTGTTGAAAGCAGCTACTGTGTTGAAAGCAGCTACTGTGTTGAAAGCAGCTACTGTGTTGAAAGCAGCTACTGTGCTGAAAGAAGCTACTGTGTTGAAAGCAGCTACTGTGCTGAAAGCAGCAGTATTGAAGGTAAACGACACTTCATGAATTATAATTACTGGGTAAATAATTTTATGGTTGGGGGTCACCACAACATGAGGAACTGTATTAAAGGGTCGCGGCATTAGGAAGCTTGAGAACCACTGCACTAGGCCATAGCACTAGGAGCATCTGTTGAGTGCTTTTGGCTAAAACCATTAGATATCTTTTTAGTGTAATCACAAGCATAATGAATTCTAAAGGTCCTGCCAGCATGTGTTGGGTTTTTTTTTGTTTGTTTTTTTTACACCAGAACCCTTTTGTATTTACTTTTACTTTCCTTTTTTTCATATACAGCGGTGTTTTATATGAAACAAGTGCCTAAAATTAATCTGTGTTGGGGCCTGGGTGACTCACAGTAATCTAATGTTTTCTCCTAATGGATTCTGTCTGCTGGAAATGAAAGCAGATTTTAACATAGTTGGAAATGGCTCTTATGGTGAAAAAACAGATTATGGCTTGGGGATTCATGAAATTGCTCACAGATTACAGATTTGAATTATGTTGCATTTCTTTAACCTTGAATAGTCTGCATGTGACAGAAGGTGACCCAGTGCTCGTTGCTCTTTTTCAAATCTTCTGTGTTCCCATTAGTAACTATTGACCTCCCTTGCATCATTGCTTCTATGGAGGTTTGAAAATGAAGAAGGAACAATGTCATTGCTGATGGTATTATAGCCTAGAGCAGGGGTGGACAACTGTGGCCCTCCAGCTGTTGGTGAACTACAAGTCCCATCATGCCTCTTGCTTTGGGAGTCATGCTTGTAACTGACAGTTTTGCAATGCCTCATGGAACTTGTAGTTCTACAACAGCTGGAGGGCCACAGTTGCCCACCCCTGACCTAGAAGCACCAGTAAGTGCATCCTTTTTAGGCTAAGTACCACAACATAGAGCAGCAATGCACAAAGTCATGTCAGCCTAGTAGCCATTTATTCACTGTAAAGAGCACAATAAATTCTAACAAAATTTGGATACAAGCCACTCATGAGGCCTCTGTGATCAAGCCCCCGTGGGCGAGAGACGAAACGCGTTAGAGGGCGTGGCCGGAGCGGCAGCTAAGGCCACTTAACACAATCGTCTCCAAGGACTGGTCAAAGCGGTGTCCACTTCCCTAACACAGTTACTGGAAGGACTCATGGATACTCCTCCCTCTTTCAATGCCGGTGATTTCCTCCTGCTTCATGGCTTGGAGTGGCACCACAAACTTTCTCACACAGTAAGCCATTCTTGTTGTCACTAAACCAAACATTTGAAATGCTCTTCACAAGGCTACTATGTGCCTATCCAATCTGGGCATTCTACCCATTGTTAGGTGTTCTCACAAAATCTCTTTAAAACTTTTAAAAACCTGAAGATTTTGCAGCATACGGCCTATCACTTTTTGCATAACATCTGTGTTTACATGTACTTTAAATGTGCTTTTCCATTTTTTTAAAGGAAATCTTCATCATTCCAAACTATTTGCTTAAAAAATTAGACCAGGCAGAACCCGTGTGTACAGAAAATTGTGTTCTATTTAGATTATGTAAGAAGGATGAATGATCCCTTGTGGATTTTATTACATTTTCCTGGCGTATGTGGCTTGGCTTTACCTAGTTAACCTTTTCACCCGCTGCGCAATAACATGAAGACCTTCCCAGC